TATTTTCCTGAGAAAACATATAGCTGGCCCTTTGCCTTCCCACTGACTAGATAGGAGGCCTAAAAACATATAAGCCCTAGGTCTCTCTGTCTTCACTGCACGGCAGAACCAGTGCCTGCAACCACCCACTCACTCTTGGCTGGGTATTCAGTTACTTGCAGCAGAAAGCTTTCCTAACTGATTCATGAACCTTCCCCAATAAATCCAAATAGGGGTCAAGCAGTCCCATAACGGCACAAGTGAAGTGTGACCAGGTAATACAGAGCCAGCTCCGTCCTCTGACCTGCCATGACAAACTCCAGAAGACAGTTTGTTAAAAGAGGACTGGTAAGGAATTTACCTGAGGGATACAGAAATGCTGAGGCATAGGAGCACATGTACCCCAATGTTCATAGCAGCACTCTCCACAATAGCTAAAACATGGAAAGAGCCTAAGCGTCCATCAACAGATGAATGGATCAAGAAGATGTGGCTTATCTGTACCATGGAATACTACATGGCAATGAGAAACAATGAAATCTGGCCATGTGTAGCAACATGGATGGACCTTGAGGGTGTTATGCTGAGCGAAATAAGTCAGGCAGAGAAGGACAAATATCATATGTTTGCACGTATAGGAGGATTAGGAGGAACTTGACGGAGGAACAAGGGGGAGAAGAAGGGCGGAAATGGTGGGGGAAAGGGAGAGAGGCAAACCATGAGAGACTCTTGAATGCTGACAAAAACTGAGGACTGATGGATGTGGGGGGGAGGGGGGGATGGGCATGGAGGAGGGCACTTTGGGGATGAGCACTGAGTGTTATGTGGAAACTAATTTGACAATAAACTATTTGTAAAAAAAAAAAAAAAAAAGAAAAAAAAAGAATAAAAGTAGAAAGCAAGTATAAAAAAAAAAAAAAAAAAGGACTGGTACTTTTGATTCCACCTGAACCTATCACCACACCTCAGAAGGCAATCCATGTGGCAGCCAGGCAACCACACTCTTCACGCCTTGTGGAGAATAGAAAAGTAAAAACAATATAAATTTCAACCCCTATCCCCAAATGACCTTCATAAAGGTTCCTTGAGAATTATGAAACATAATTTCAATAAAGGGACTAAAATTTTACCTCATTTCCAGTTTGCCTTTGGTTTCTTAGTTGAAGGTTAGTCATTGACATTTTAAAAATACCTTTCATTTGAACAACCTGAGTTAACCAGTGTCTTTACCAGTGTTAGCATCAAGTACATTTTAGTGTTCAGATTTCCAGCGGTCTCATATATGTGTATACTTTTGTTCTTTTTTTTCTTAACCATTTATTTGCTTAAGATTCAAATAAGTTCATCACATTACAACTGATCAATACAACTTTTATCCCCAGCTTTATTGAGATAGAACTGGGGGCACCTGGGTGGCTTAGTTGGTTAAGCGTCCGACTTTCGCTTAGGTCATGATCTCACGGTTCTTGGGTTCGAGCCCCGCGTCGGGCTCTGTGCTGACTACCAGCTCAGAGCCTGGAGCCTGTTTCAGTCTGTGACTCCCTCTCTCTCTGACCCTCCCCTGCTCACACTCTCTCTCTCTCTTTCTCTCTCTCCTAGAAATAAATAAAACATTAAAAAAATTTTAAAAAAAAGAGAACTGGCATATTATATTGTATAAGTTTAAGGTGTAAAACATGATGAGACCAATATATCTTTCAAATCTTTTAATCCAAAGATTGCTCCTCTAACTTTTTTTTTAATCTTAACAATTAAAAAACGTGGTTGTTTGTTCTGTCATTTCCCACAGTTTGCATTTTGCTGACTACATCCCTCCAGTGTTGATTTAACACATTCCTCTCTTCTCCGTATATGTTGTAAACTGGTAGTTGGATCTGAAAGCTTGATCACATTCAGGCTTGACTATTCTTCCATCAGGAGGAATAACTTCTTTTGTAAGTCTAGTTGCCTTTTATGTTTATGAACTGTTTTTACTCACAACATTTCTGACACCAAATGTTTAGGTTTTCCATACCAAGCAATTCTTCAACTCCCTATGAACACCAAGCGGGAATCTGACACTTAACTATCAGGAGTTAACTCAGATCTCACAGTTTAAGGGGTCAGACCCACAAGATTGCCCCCCTCCCCCATGTAAGACACTAAACGCCAAGTCCCAGGCCTCTGGCACTTGTGACCAACTGAGCAACTACAAATCATGAGTTCCCACACCCTCAAGTTCACTGATTTGCCAGAATGGCACACAGAATTCAGAAAGGTACTTTATTTACTATTACCAAGTTATTACAAAGAATATAAGATACAACTCAGGAAAAGATTGGGGAGGACTACATGGCACACCACACTCCCAGCATGTTGCTGTGTTCACCAACCCAGAGGCTCTCCAAACTCTAGCATTTAGAAATTTTTGTAGAGATCCCACTACATAGGCAGTGTTGATTAAAGCATTGGCCACTGGCAATTAATCAGTTACCAGCCTCTTTCCCTTCCTCAGAGGTTGAGGGTGGCAGGGGAAGAGGGGTAAAGGGTGAGGCTGAAAGTTTCAACACTATTAATCACATGATTGGCAACCAGCTCCCATGTGAAACCATCCAGGAGCCCACCAAGAGTCACTTCATTAGCATAAACTCAGGTTTTCCAAAGGTTTTAGAAGCTATTTAGAAGAACCAGGACAAAGACAAAATATGGATGTCTTATTATGTCACAATATTCAATGCCTAGATGCATTAGATTGTTGGGGTTTGTAATTTGGTGACATTCTATCATTCCTTCTTCACTTATTACTGGAATACTCCAGTATTTGGGGGCTCCTGGATGGTTCAGTCAGTTGAGCATCTGACTTGGGCTCAGGTCATGAACTCATAGTTCATGAGTTTGAGCCCCACACTGGGCTTTCTGCTTTAAGAACAGAGCCTGCTTCATATCCTGTGTCCTCTCTTTCTGTCACTCTGCCATGCACATGCATGCACTTTCTCTCTCTCAAAAACAAACATACATTTTTTAAAAAGACCTATTTGCTATTCAGCAATAGAGTTCATACAGAGAAAGAATAGATGTTTGATTTCCTTTTTTAAAAACTCACCTCAAAATAATGAGTTGCTTCTCCAGAATTTTCCAATACTGATTAGTTGTTTTTCATTTCTTAATATCATAGACTCATGAATTTAAACATATTTCATGGGTTTTAATCTACTATCATTACTATTCTTATTGACGGTCTATTTGTCTCATCTTTAGCAGGCAGGAGCCTCTTCAGGTTGATTCCTGAGTCCTTCTGACACTCCCTTAAGTAGTCTTTGATGGCTCTCTTGTTACCTGACATGATGTTTCAGACTCAACTTAAAATTTTCCTGTACCAGTGCTAGAACCAGCCATTTCCCCAACGAATCCTCATTCCTTTTAGCAGAAAATGGTGTCTGGATTTCACATTATGAGACTAATGCCTGTCAATTCATTCATTTATCAAACATTCTGCCAGCAGTTAATATGTATCAGTCACTAATTTTGGCTTTGAAGATACAAAGATATAACACAAACTCAAAAAGCTGACAAACAAGTGGCATATACTTCGAATACATAACCAAGAAATGTAGAAGAAAGCAAATAAGCCCCAGGCAAAATAATCCATTTAGAACTTATCTGGTCAGGGAATATACTTCTCTCTAACTAGCATTCTTAGAAATAAGAGAGAGATGTGATTCATAATGACATAATTGCACAGAATGACACAGTTATAGAAAGACTCAAAGAACTAAACCTTGACTAAAAGAACAGAATTGAATCAGTCTCCAGACCTCTAAGTACTCCTTCCTGCTCATGAATGTCAATCAGAGCAGGGGTAGAGGGAAACCAGACTTATTTTCAGGTGTACAGAATTACACAAATAATCCAGTGACTCTCTCATAGAATGTTAAAGGTCCTTGCCAAAGTAAGGAAATATTGGGGCACCTGGGTGGCTTAGTCGGTTAAGCATCCGACTTTCGCTTAGGTCATGATCTCGTGGTTCGTGGGTTCGAGCCCCACGTCAGGCTCTGTGCTGACTGCCAGCTCAGAGCCTGGAGCCTGTTTAGATCTGTGACTCCCTCTCTCTCTGACCCTCCCCTGCTCATGCTGTCTCTCTCTCTCTCCTAGAAATAAATAAAACATTAAAAAAAAAAAGAGTCTGCAAAGTAAGGAAATATTTTCTTTCCAAGCATAAATACACATTCAGTGCGTTTTTTACGTTTAATACAATACTACGACAAAGATTAAAGTGAAACACTTCTCAATCAAAAAATATTTTTAAATTTCCAACTTTTCCATTCACTAGTATTTTACCTCCAACTAGAAATTAGTGACAAAGCAGCTTACCTTTTGTCTTTTTCACTTTCATCCCTCCCTGTTTCTTTTTTCCTTTTCTTTCTTTTTTCTTTTTTTTTAGTTATTTTCGAGAGAGAGAAAGAGCATGGATGGGGTAGGGGGCAGGGGCAGAGAAAGAGACACAGAATCAGAAGCAGGCTCCAGGCTCTGAGCTGTCAGCACAGAACCCGACACGGGGCTAGAACTCACAGACTGCAAGATCATGACCTGAGTCAAAGTCAGATGCTTAACCGACTGAGCCACTCAGGTACCCCATCCCTCCCTGTTTCTTAAACTTCTTTCTTCCTGACTTTTTACAAAACACAGCTAATCCAAGAACTTAAACCAATGACAAAGGGATGGAAAAGACAAAAAGAAACCTCCTGGGTTAATTTTAAAAGGAAAATTCATTTATTTTAGTTTAAATAAGCTAGTCAAAATTCTAGTTTATTGTCAAGTTGGTTTCCATATAACACCCAGTGCTCATCCCAGTAAGGGCCCTCCTCCATGTCCATCACCTCCCTTCCCCTCTCCCTCCACCCCAGGAAAATTCATTTAAAACAGTATCTAGCATTTTGAATTCTCACAGAGAAAAGGTGAATGTTAACCTGTTTGAAAATGTCAGGTACTATAAGTAAGTTACAAAATTAAGCATTACAATGGAAAATAATAAAATCTCCCACCTTTCAGCACTAAATGCTGACTCTGTGTCGATGTATACGACACCTCCTTCTAATCCTCCCATGTTGGTGGGTAATGTGGCCAAAATGCTCATCATTATACAAAACTGAGTTTTTCCACAACCTGGTGGGCCTGTAATCTAAAAAAAAAAAAAAAAAAAGTTTTCTGAATAAGCATCACAAGCGAGTCAAAGCAAAATTCTTTTAAGAACATGCCACACGGACAGTCCCACTAACCTGGGTTCTCAGAGAGAACATTTTAAATTTTTTTTAATGTTTTTTATTTATTTCTGAGAGAGAGATAGAGAGCATGAGCAGGGGAGGGTAAGAGAGAGAGGGAGACACAGAATCGGAAGCAGGCTCCAGGCTCTGAGCTAGCTGTCAGCACAGAGCCCAACGCGGGGCTCGAACTCATGAACCGTGAGAGCATGACCTGAGCCAAAGTCAGACACTTAACCAACTGAGCCACCCAGGTGTTCCTCAGAGAGAACATTTTAATACATCTATTGTATGTAAGGAATTAACTTCTCCCCTGTGCATCTGGATTGGTACTAGTTATACACTATCCGTGGGAGAAATGAGAAAACAGTCACTTCAAATCACACTCTGTGTTCTGTAACTCAGATGAAAAGCTTTGGTTGAGAGAGGCTACAGGGTACATTTCTACATTCAGAACTGAGAGGTCTATATCTTTTCCTTATTAAGACATTTATAGAAGGTAACTGAAAATATTTAAGAGGCTTTAATAATTGGTTTAGCATTTCTCATGAATTAGCCTTTTAGAACAATTTTGTACTAGTCCCCTAAAAAGCTCCTTTGATCTTTTCTGAAGAGTAAAGAATTTAGCAGTAAAGAGTGCTGATGTATACAATTTATTTTCAAATGCTTTAGCAAAAAGGAAAAAAAAGGCATGCACACACGCACATATGTGTGTGTGTGTACAAAGAAAGATAAAACAAATGTGACAAAATTCAACAATTTTTGAACCTAGATGACTCATACTTGGAAGTGTGTGTTTTGAAATTTTACTTTGTGAAACGCTATTCTACAATTATAAAATGTGAAGTCAGGAGAGTTAGAGATGGAAAAAAATAGGAAAATTCATAAACATGCATATTCAAGTCAACTAGAAGTAGTTAACAAAAATTTGAAAATGTTAAAAAATACCCCTTTAAACATACATTATTTGTCACATTGGCTATGGCATCCAAACTTTAAGAACCAAAACACTATCCCTTTTGTTAAAATAAAATTAATGCTTTTAACACAATCTTTCACAAAGGCAGGGAAAAGAACTGAAGAGGAAGAGGAGAGAAAACAATCTCAAGAAGAGAGGAAAAAGTCTGAGCTAAGACTAAGACAGACTACAAATATGAATAAAGTGTCTCAGATACATCATGAAGTAAGAAGAAATAAGAAGGGATGACTCGTGAGTCTACATCATTTATGCCAGTTGTTCTCAAACTTAAGTGAGCACTGGAATTACCTGGCAAGCTTATTAACAGGAATCTCTGGTTCAGTAGGTCTGGGATGTGGTCTGAGAATTTACATTTCTAATAAATTCCCAAGTGCTGCTTATGCTGCTGTACACTTTTGAGAACTACTGTTTTAAATTTAGACTAGGGGATCCTGGGTGGTTCGGTTGACCATCCAACTCTTGATTTTGACTTAGGTCATGATCTTGCGGCGTGTGGGATCAAGCCCTGCATCAGGCTCCATGCTGACTGTGCGGAGCCTGCTTGGTATTCTCTCTTCCTCTCTGCCCTCCACTGCTCAAGTTCTCTGTCTCCTTCTCAAAATAAATACATAAACATTTAAATAATAATCATAAATAAATAAAAATTTAGACTAAAGCTAATCTTCCTTTATCAAGGCTAAACACTAAAAAACAAAGTTTCTTCTAACAAAAGTTAGAAACTCTGTGCTGATTTATTATAATCTTTAAAAGTGATTTAGACTTTCAGAATAAATTGTTGCTACCAATAACAGTTTGCCAGATCATGAGTGGTAAGTGAAAAGAGATTGCCAAACTTTTTTTACAAACATTTTTTAATGTTTATTTATTCTGCCAGGGGGGCAGGAAGCAGGGGGAGAGGAAGGGGCAGAGAGAGAGAGGATCCCAAGCAGGCTCTGGGCTGTCAGCGCAGAGCCAAATGCAGGGCTCAAACTCATGAACAGTAAGATCGTGACCTGAGTCAAGATCAAGAGTCACATGTTTAACCAGCTAAGTCACCCAGGCATCTCTCCAAACTTTTTGATTACATAGTCTGACAAACTGAAAATGGACAAACAAAATTTAGTATGGTCTTCCAGTATATATATACACATATATATTAGACACATATTATTTTATTAATACACTTCACATAATATAAAATATACACAAAATAGGGATCAAAAAATAAGCATTTAAAAATAGTTTCAAAAAAAAATGGGTGCCTGGGTGGCTCAGTCAGGTAAGCATCTGACTCTTGATTTCAGTTCAGGTCATGATCTCACCATTTGTGAGTTCGAGCCCCACAGTGGGCTCTCTGGTGTCTGCACGGAACCTGCTTCAGATCCTCTGTCTCCCTCTCTCTGCCCCTCCCTCCTGGTACTGTCTCTCTCAAGAATAAAATAAACATTTTTTTAAAAATAAAACAAAAATAAAAAGTTACATATCTTAGTTCTTAGTTATACAGATCTTTTCATTCTCATAAAAACTTAACACTTAGTGAAGCAATAATAATGAAAATAAATAAAATTATATTATTATTTAATTACTTTATAATTCAGCGCTTGAAATCTCAGGTCTTAAGTTCTGCTCATTTCAGTACTTCAATGCCCTGGCTGTATAGTTGAAAAAGGACAACTGCAAACATGCAAGGGCTGAAATTTTTAAAATACATTACTTGTTGTACTTACTATTTTCATTTTTCAATAACTTCCATCTAATAGCAAATGCTATTATTGAACTTTGACTAATAAACTTCCATCTTTCCTCATGTCAATCAACTGTTCTTGCACACAATCAAAAGATATTACATTTTAAGATTTTTAACAAGTGGATTAAAAATAAAAATTCTTTATTTGGAAGGTTTTTCAACAGTATAGAAAATACTGTTACAATTTTTTTAAGTGTGCAGATGACAAAGTTTTCATAAAACACACAGATCTTTGACAACAAAAATAACATCATAAAAGAAATATTTCTAAGCAATGATTTTAAAAACACTACATTTTAACCTATTTTTAAAAAGGCAATTACAGTAAAACCTTGGATTGCAAGTAACTTGTTTTGAGAGTATTCTGCAAGACAAGCAAATATTTCTAATAAATTTTAACTTGATAAACAAGTGATGTCTTGCAATAGAAGTAGTATGTGGGATGCCCAACATCACATGATCATAAATGAGCCAATGGTTCTTGAAATTCACTTTGATATTCAAGTGCTTTGGATTACAAGCATGTTTCCAGAACAAATTATGTTTTCAAACCAAAGTTTTACTTGTATTTTCTTACTCATTGTTAAAACATTACTTTTACTTTGAAAGGATGTTGTAAGAGTGTACCACTGGTTGGCTAGTTGATTTTTAATCTGCTATGAAGCATATTACATAGCCACTTGTCATTTTTAAAAGGTCAGCAAATGTGATAGATCTTATCTTTTTATTTAAAAAAAAACGCTTCACCCATCTTTAATTTCAACAATTCTTTTATACTCTTTGCTGTGAGATCACCAAAGAAGACCTTGTGATTCAAATGATTTTCATGGTCAGTCCCCATCTCATTACAGAGTGTTATAGAGATGATACTTAACCAGTCAGGTTTTTGTAAAAATTAACAACACTGACCATTGTTATCAACTTGAAGTTGAATAGTCAACTTCTATGTTGCTACAGATTGCCTAAGGAGGATGCAACAGAAAAGTTTAAAGAATCTTAGTTAGGTACCATTTTTACTATTACTACAACCAGACTAGACTAGACTAATGTATCCATCAATCCATCTCAGATTTTGTTGGAGTTTTTTTAAAAAGATATTATTTTTAAGTAATTTCTACACCCAACGTGGAACTCAAATTTACAGTCCAAGATCAAGAGTCACATGTTCCACTGACTGAACCAGCCAGGCATCCCTCCATCTCAGGTTTTTTTCATGCATTTTAAAATAAGTCAGAGACCTCAATATACTTACCCCTAACAATTCAGCATGTATATCATTAACATGAGTTTAATATGCATGATTCTTTTTTTCTTATAAGGTAAATTTTACATACAGTAATTGCATAATCTTAAATTTACCATTTCATGAGTTCCAACAAATGTATACACATATGCAATCTAAACCCAAGTCAGAACATTAGCATTACCCCAGGCAATTCTCTCAGAAACATTGTTTTATGTTCCAAGAAATCATTCATATTAGAGAACTCATATAAACATTGTATGTTCAGGAGGTTTATTTGAGGGAATATATCTTCTCTGACCTATCTTTAGTTTAATGGCACACATAAAAAATTTAGTTCTTCCTGTATTTCATTACTGAAACAAAATCTAGCTAGGATGATAATCTGGGTCATGGTAGAGACTTCTTTACTTATATAGCATCTTCCTATATTGAAAAACCTGTTTTAATCCTTAATGCTTCAAAGCACCTCTACAGATTCCTGTGTAACTTCTAACAGTATTTATTCACAAAAGGATCCATTTAAGTTGTTGCCATATTGTTTCCTATGTTTTATTTCATTCATTTTACTATAAGGAAGGACACTGTGTTCCTATTATGTTAATAATTTATTACATTTGGTCTTTTACTATTAAGAAAATTCAAAAGAGGCTTTTAAATATCTATTATTAATTTTAGTAAAGTCTTCCTAGATATTGACTTATGTATCATAGGACTTTAGCATTTTTTTCTTATTTTAGAGAGAAAGAGGTGAGGGGAGAGGTGGATGAGGAGGGAGGGAGGGAGGGAGAGAGAAAGAGAAAGAGAGAGAGAGAGAGACTGAGACTCTTAAGCAGGCTCCATGCTCACAGCAGAGCCCCACACAGGGCTCGATCCCACAACCCTGGAGTTATGACCTGAGCCAAAATCAAGAGTCAAATACTCAACCAACTGAGCCACCCAGGTGCCCCTGTATCACGTGACTTTAAATGTC